TAGAAATAAATCACTTCTAAGAACTGAAAAAAAATGTGTATGTGTATTCACAAATGATTCACATGTCGTATTGACTGGCCTTTCGTAGGAGAGTTTGCTAACCCCTACCCTATGAGCAGTGCCCTCTAGTCACTTGGCTAGAGAAGCACAGACGTGTATGTAAATGGGTGACGCATGGTCTTTGGAACCAAGAAGAATCTGAGTTAAAATCCTGACTCTCAAAATGTAGCTTTGGGTAAATCACTTTATCTTTCAGACCTGTGTCTTTTAACGTAAGCTAGAATGATTATTACTTATCTTTTGGAATTGTGAGGAAGACTTGTATTCTGGCGAAAGTAGGATTTCAGTGAGGATTCTCGCTGTGATTGGGAAAACAGCAGAATCTGCTCAGTGGAGATGAAGGGTAAGTGGACAGCCACTCTTTAGTCCTGAGTAGGGAGAGAAGGTTAGGAGGGGCTCTTCTCTCCTAGCCAGTTCTGTCAGGCGAACTTTGTGAGAGCAGCATTTCTATCTCACCACTTCACCGCTCAAGAACCTGCTGTAGCTCCCAGTCACATGTCAACTGAAGCACGAACTCTTCTGCCTCTGTCAGCATCTTTCCTCCTTAGACATTTTCCAACAAACTTCCTCAAGGTCCTCAACATCCCTGCCTCAGTAAAGTAGATCCTGCTTGTTCCCCACCACACAGAGCTTACTTTTGAAGGACTCTGAGCCTCTCCATGGGGGTCCCATGGACAGCAATGCTTCACCAGCCCTCCTCCTCCAAACCAGTGCCCACACATCCCTACAGAGCTGGTGCTGGTCCCAGGGCACCAAGGAATGCTCCATCATGTGTGTTAGCCCCTGTTCTCAACCTCCACAGACTATGGGCTGTGAGATCAGTAGATCACCCTGCGTCCCTTTTATCTGTGTGGGATGTGTCCACCCAGACCTCAGGGTTTCAACTGACCTCCTTCCCTCCAGTATCCAATGTGGTTCTGCTGCAAACCAGAAACTCAAAAAAAATAGTTTGGTTACTTAAAATATTTCGAGTTGAAAAAAAGCCCTTGTTCTTTTTTGGGCTCCTGTAAATGTATTTTCATTTATAAACTATGCTTGTTGGGTATTTGTTTTAAGAAATAGTAGCAGGTCAGTGCCTGTGGCTCAACTGGCTAAGGCACCAGCCACATACACCTGAGCTG